GAACTGGTGTCGAAATCGGGTTAAAGTCGTGTTGATTTTGTGAGAACAGAGAGAAAAAACATACTACACGGAACTCACGTATTATTGGGGCCAAGACTATACAATGACGGATATAATAAAAGGTGCTATACCATTGAATTCATTGTTTGAGTAATTGGTCTTTAAACAACAATACCGGTTGAAAATCCACCACTTTTGTTTTATCCTGTTTCGTATTTTTAAACTAGTGATAAAGATTCTATATAAAAATTATACATGAATTAGAAACAAATGCTTCCAGCAGCAATTACGTAAAAAAATTAATCTGGTGTAAGCGGAAAGTGTCGACCTGCTCTCTTGGGACCTATTTCACGGCTAAAAGTCTTCCACTATTAATTTGCAAAAAGGTCTCTTCCGGTGTACAGGCGTTTCCACTTCCCGCTTATTTCCACATTTTATTACGACAAGTGCCAAGGAGTGGTCCGAAGGTGATTAAATTTTTATCAAAAAGAGTTGTTCTTGCTGTCAGCTGACTATAAATATATGTATATTCAGGGTGTCTGCGAAAGGTTGGGAAATCCAGAAACTGGAGATACTACAGACTAAAGTATGTGAATTGACCTAAACATACCTTAATCCAAAATATAGTTAGTTAGTTAGTTTGCGAGATACATTGTATCAAAATACAATTTTATTTTCTATTTTTCCTTATTGCTTGAGAAGTCTTTCAGATTTTGGCATAAAACTCGGTATAGGGAGGTGATCCAGTATGATAAACCAGAATCCGTTATTTTTTATAACCAAACTTCTAGAGGGCGCCACTTACAGGTAAATAACTTATCATAACTTTTTGTGCTACCCTGTATACAACAACTGACCGAAAAATCCTATTGTCTCGTATTACCACAACAAAAAGAGTTACAGCTAAGAGTTAGAGATATTTGTTTTTAAAAGTTCCAATGCATTATTTGTACCATGATGATAAAACATCTTTATAACATAATAATCAAGTTGCTTCAGATAATATCTGAGTAGCGTAGCTATGGTTTTTAACAATAACAAATGAGGATGGCAACAAAACTAATAAAACGAAATAATAAGTACAAAAATTGTTCAAAATGAGCACCACCTTGCCTAACACACTCCCGAGCTCGACGAACTAATCCTTGCTGCACTCTCCAAAGCATTTAAATGTTATTTTTCATTTCCTGGCTGTCGTGGAAAAGTCTTTGTCGTAGATCATGTACATTTTCCTTTGGCCTATTGTAAACGGGTCATTTTAAGTCACCCCCGAAGAAGAAGTCCTTGGGACTAAACTCTGTTGATCTAGCCGCCACGATACAGTTCCTGATCGGCCTATCCGCTGGTCTGGATAAACTCTATTTAGGTGCTCTCTAATATAGTGAAATGAGGTGGAGCGCCGTCGGTCATAAACCACATATTCATGCGTGTTTGTAATAGAAGATCTTCCAGCAGAGTAGGTAATTGTTCTTCAAGAACTTGTCAATACCTTTGGCGATTTAGTCTAGGTGGTAACTCAACGGGTCCTATTAAATATTGTCCAATTACTCCTGCACATAAATTAATTAGAAATTGTACTTGGTGGCGGGTTTGAATTATTGCATGCGGATTTTCGTCCGCATAAACGAGAAGATTATGCGAGTTAATGGGCACATCCCTTCCAAATCCTGCTTTGTCCGAAAATAATATTAATGAAGTAAAACCATTGTCGTGCTTATACTTCCTTAAGAGCCATGTACAAAATGCTATCAGCGCTTAAACCATGTACTTTTTGCAGGTGGTATGGATGGAGCAGCAAAAGGGTATTTACTGTACATCTGGAAACTTGAAATTCTCGAGCTACATTCCTAACCCCGACTGTAGGATGTTCAGAGCCAGCATCTAAAACATTTTCTTCAACTTCAGCTATACGTACAGTTTTAGGAGCTCCACTATGTGGGCCTATATTTTGAGCTAAACTATCTAAAATCCAAATGGTCTTTACTACCCAAAATAAGGCTATAATCATTTTTTAACAGTTTCTTGTAACCGCTGATCGATTCGTTGGAAAGTCTTTGAATTAGGCAGGTGTCTATTAGGGAATCCGTCAGTGTATAATCAAACGTATACTCCATGATGTATAACAACTTATCGTCAACTTAAAATTATTCGTGAAGTTTAAAGAAATATTTTGACAAATCTCAGAAACCATAGAAACCATACTCAGATATTATCCAAAGCAACTTGATTATTATGTTATAAAAATGTTTTATCATGGCACAAATAATGAATGCATTGGAACTTTTAAATACAAATATCTCGAAAACCATTAGCTTTAGACACTTCTAACAAGTAAACCTTTTTAGTTGTGGAAATACGACAAAATAAGATTTTTTTGGCCAGTTGTTGTATACAGGGTAGCACAAAAAAGTTATGATAAGGTCTTTACCTAAATAGTGCTGTGAGCGGTGCCTTCTAGAAGTTTGGCCATAAAAAATAATGGATTCTTGTTTCTCATACTAGGAAACCTCCCTAAAATCTGAAGTACTTCTCAAGAAGTAAGGAAAATAGGAAATAAAATTGTAATTTTAACACCCTGTATCTCAAAGTTGTGATTTTTTAAATGGAATGCCTAAAATTTTATTGCATATTTGGATAAACCAATTCAAAAGAAGAAGATTGATATTACATACTATGGGGTTTTGGTAATGAGATGTAAGGGGTTTTGTCAAGAAAAACCGTTCACTTCGGCAACCCCTCAATCCGCCATTTTGGAATTTGGAGTGCTGAGTTTCATATCAAAAAAAACTTACATACCTCAGCTTTTATCTTATTTGTTACTTTTTCGAATTCTCATTTTGGCTCATACAGGGTGGTCAAAAACGCGAATTGTACTTTTTCTCAAAAATTTCAAATGCTTCACCCTGTATATTTGTGCAAGTTTGGATTCAATTTTTCATAAGCTTTTTTTTGGTATGAGGTTTGATTCAGCTAAAATCACTAGATTTTGAGTTATTAAGCTTTTGATAGAACAACACACCAAAATTAAGGAAAAAAATCAGATCATCCATGGAAACAAAAGACAAACAGTGGGGTAGTTCCATATTGCTACTAAGGGTACATGTTTGACGTTAAAACTAATAACAATCTGAACAGTATAAATCGGGTTCAAGTGTAATAGAGAAAAACAGCTATAACAACAACATAAACAAACAACTATAACAACTCAAGACCTACTCTAAAAAAACTGCTCGAAAATATCTCCACCATGTTGAATACACAGCCGTAGTCTTTGGCTAAATGACCATTGCACATCACTAGGCATGTGTTCCCTTATGTTCAGAAAAGCATCGTTAATCCTTTCCTTAATATTTTCCGGGGTAGATGGTGGATATCTATAAACCTCTTGCTTAACGTTGCCCCATAGAAAGAAGTCAATCGGTGTCATATCTGGTGATCCAGGAGACCAAGATACAGGCCCAGCACGACCGATCCAACGATTGTTACTCCAGGTGTCCAAATAGTTACGCACACGATTATGATAATGCGCAGGTGCGTCGTTATGTTGGAAGATCATATGCATCCGAGTTTGCAGCTTGACATCCTCCAAAAGCAAAGTCAAATGCTCGATCAAAAAAATTCAAGTATTTTGTACCTGTTAATCAGTTGTCGAAAAAGAAAGGCCCGATAACTTGTCTGTCAATAACTCCTCCCCAAACGTTCAAGCCCCATTTATTTTGGAATTCTATTTGCCTATCCCAATAAGGGTTTTCCGTCGCATAATAGTGCATGTTAGGCCTGTTGTCAACACCTATGCTGTCAAAAGTTGCCATTGCTAAAAAGAACCTTATCCAGGAAAGTAGTGTCTCTCTCACTTTATTTAGCATTATTCTACTAAACTCCATTCGAGCTGCGAAATCCCAAGGATGAAGGCCTTGATGCAAGCATAGGTGATATGGATGGTACCTATGCTTGTGAATAATCCTTTGGACAGAAGTTCTGCATATATCAGTTTCTGCTCCAATTTGCCGTGCACTTAAATGGGGATTTTCCTGCAACTTTAATAGAACCTCCAAGTGATTCGCCTGATTGATGATACGTAGTGTGGAAAATTTTTCCGGCCTTGGATGTCGCATATCAGGGTACCGTTGCTTATAGATGCGCGATGCTAGGAAACTATTTCTTTGGGCTTCGTCCAAAACGAACACCATATTCACTGATCCTTCTTTAGAATAATTCATTTCCAATTACGTTTTTATTATAATGCTCACAATTGGTAACCAATCAACAATTTATTTGTTTCCAAGGATGATGCGATATTTTACTGATTTAAGCCGTTCTATAAAAGACGTGCTAATAAAGAAAAAAATAGCCGTAAAAACCCTTGTGTATCTAATATCAAAGAAAAGCTTATAAAAAATTGTATCCAAACATGCACAAATATAGAGGGTGATGCATTTGAAATTTTTTTGAGAAACTACAATTTGTAAAGTAATAAAGAAGATAAAAGCTGAGGTGTGTAAGTTTTTTTTGACATTAAATTCAGCGCTCCAAATTTACAAATGGCGGACTGAGGGGTTGCCGAATTGGGTGGTTTTTCAAGACAAAAAACCTTATATCTCAATAGGTAATTACCAAAACCCCATAGTACTTCATATCAATCTTCTTCTTATGAGTTGGTTTATCCAAATATGTAATAAAATTTGAGGCATTCCGTTAAAAAATCACAACTTTGATATTTGCGTCAAAATTGGAACACCCTGTATAATTGACAATATTTTAGAATTGTGCCCTCAAGTGTCATGTATAGCACGCCATAAATAGATTTTCCCAAAATGTATTTGTTTATGAGTAATATTCCGTCCACGCATGGATGGGCCACCCTGTATATAAGTTACCTAGTCACCTAGCCTAGCAACCAGTACATCGACCGACTAATTCAGTGGATTCAGCGCATTCCTCATTATTTACGATCTATAACTATTGCCACATTTGATTTTTACATTGTTAATGAAATGATTTTCGAATCAGTCTTGATCCAGCCATGCCAGCTTGTACCAAATACATAAATGGTTTTTAAAAAGTACAAATCGGCGTTAAGAAACATAATTGGCGCAGGGCGGTTCGAGACGTAGTCGTCAATCGCTTCGTGTCACACGATTAACCTGGTATTACGAACCCAAATCGTGGCGATTCTTTTAAAAGTTTCGGTCGTCGCGTAAGACCCGTCAGGAGACCCATCCTGGACTAAGATCGACATCGAGGACCTAGCAAGAAGATGTCATTCGACAGAACATCGAAGGCAGAATCTTTACCCCCAAGGCACATTGAAGTATGGGCATGAAAGTGGTTTTGCTGTGAGTACTTTTTATGTCATTTAGAGGAAATATTTTTTATTTTCCTAAATTCAAATGATTGGTAACTCGGATTTTGACTCAAAAAAAAAATTTTCTAAATTATAATTTTATTCATATTTTCGACCCTCGATTTTACGTAATATTTGTACAATGTATCCCCAACAACCAAATTCTTCAAACATTCCGGTACTTAAACCAGAATATTTGCAGATGATACCCAATTTTAAAGATGAGACAGAATTACTGCCAAGATTTTTAGAAATTTCAGAAAAACTTGTCACAAAATTTTATAATCCAAATGATGTCGGAAATTCCCAAGAAGAATATCTTATGTCTAGTTTCGCAAAAATTAAGGGAGATGTTGCACTCGATTACAAACACACCCACTCGTGCATTATAAAAACTTGGCAAGATTTAAACGATGCCCTATTACATGCTTATGCAGACAAGAGAGACTTGTACACGTTAAATATTGAAATGACGCAACTTAAACAAACTGATAGTGAGAGTCCACTCGATTTCTATAATCTTTTGAATCTCCAAACTTCTTATTCAGCTAGTCATTTGCGTGAAAGTGAAACTCGTATTATCGCTCCATACTGTCGAAATTTAGCTTTAAGGGTATTTCTACGAGGCTTAAAAGAACCCATCGGTACGCTGATGTGGACTAAAAATCCAGAAAATCTAAATATTGCACTTAATATGCTCACTAATGATTTTCAATTAGAATTAATTCAAAATTCTAGATCTAAGTACCAGAACAGATCTCAGTATCGTTCAAATACTTTTAGGAAATCAGAAAGTTCTCCCCAGAACTTCCAAAGGTCCAATTCACTTTCGATTACAAACACACCCACTCAACATTTTATGACAAATAATAACTTCAGACAATCACGGCCTAATGAACCGAGATCTATAAAGCACAGACAGAACAATGTTTTCACGCAAAATTCTTCACGGCAACTCCCTCAACCCATCCCAATAACGGTTTCGACAAGAAACATTTATAGAGTTCCACAGAACACACAATCACGTAGCTCACCCAAAACAGTTTCTCCCAAACCACCTCTAGACCCAATTTTACTTTTGAAGAATTATATAATATTGCTGATCATCAGACTACGAATCAGTACGATTCCTCTCTTCCAAGTACATCTCGTGACTTCTCAAACAATCAGTCTTCTAATGCGTCAGACGAGTTTTTTCAAATAGGAGCCTCGGAAGCACATTTCCTAAATTCGAATTAATGAACATATCGTTATCGCCGAGCGAATTACTCTATATTAATTATCCGAAAATGAATTTAAAAATACTTATTGATACTGGCAGTACAAAATCATTTCTCCGGTCAGAAATAGCTAAAAGGTTTTTTCAGAAATCTATAATTAAAGCCCTTTCCAAATTTCCACGGCACATGGAAGTTCGGTAGAGCACTATAGTACTACTATACCCTGCTCGCTTATTTTTAATATAAACATTGGTAACTTATTGAAGTTTTACTCATTTGATTTCCATAACCACTTTGATTGTTTGTTAGGAGTAGATAATTTAAAACTATTGCAAGCTCACATAGACTTGAATGAAGGTTTACTTATTTTGCCTGAAACTACAATAAAAATTTATTTTCACAAAACCAAGGATAATGAGCAAAGTAGTAATTGTATCATAGTACAGTCAAGAACAGAACCGATTATCCAGGTCAATGTAGCTAACGTTCAAAATGGCGACGTAGTCATTCCATATAGGAAAAAACACAGTTTAGAAATACCACAATGCATCACGACCGTCAAGAACGGCAAAGCCATTTGTTCCATTTTGAACCCTATTGAATCTGATATAAAACTCACTGAATTAAAACCACTAGAGGTAGAACAACTCGCGGATCACGATTTGTCTACTAGTCCAATAGATAGTAATTTATATAATTGTAATACGGAAAAAGTTAAATTCAACCCCTCAAAGATTCGTTCAGAGCACAGAGAACATGAACCCAGACGAAAAACAAACTATTTTCAAATTACTTAAAGAATTTTCAGATATTTTCCACTTAGAGGAAAATAAGTTAACATTTACTCATAAAATTAAACATAAGATTTGAACCGTTGACGAAATACCGGTTTATATAAAGTCATATAGGTACCCGGGAACAAATAAATAAAATATAATACGCGAATTATCAAGCTCTTGGAATTTTCCCTTGTGGCTGGTCCCTAAAAAGCTAGACGCTTCCGGTAAGCAAAAATGGCGCACCGTCGTCGACTATCATAAATTAAATGATAAAACTATGGGTGATAAATATCCCCTCCCAAATATTACAGATCTTTTGGACAAGTTAGGAAAAAGCCAATATTTTACAACATTAGATCTTGCTTCGGGGTTTCACCAAATAGAAAAAACAGCATTCAGAACTGAAAATGGTCATTATGAGTTTTTGAGAAAGACTTTTGGTATAAAAAAAGGCCCCATCTTGTTTTCAAAGAGTAATTAATGGACAACATTCTTCGTGGAATACAAAATGAGAAATGTCTAGTGTATCTCGATGATATCATTTTCAGTACCAGCCTTCAGGAACTCAGGAACATATCGAAAGATTACGCGATGATTTATAACGTTCTAGACACTCAAACTTCAAGTTACAGCTTGATAAATGTGAATTTTTGCATAAAGAGGTAGTATATTTAGGTCACATTGTAACTAAAGATGGTGTCAAGCCGAACCCTGATAAGATTCGTGCAATTCAAAAATTCCCTCTGCCAAAATCTACAAAACAAATTAAAACATTTTTAGGTCTTCTAGCATATTATAGAAAATTCTTAAAAGATTTTGCTAAGATCACAAAACCATTAACACACTGTTTAAAAAATGGTCTTACAATAAACTGCAATGATCCTCAAGTACATAAAGTGTTTCGAAATGTGTAAAAATTTACTTATACGTAAATGAACCAATTCTTCAATACCCCAATTTTAATGAGGCCTTTGTTTTGACGACAGACGCAAGCAATTTCGCTGGAGGTGCAGTTCTTTCGCAAGGCAAATTGATCACGCCCCACTTCAGTGGCTTAAAAATCATAAAGAGCAAAATTCAATAATTGTTAGATGGCGATTAAAGTTAGAAGAAATGGATTATGAAATTGTTTATAAACAAGGTAAACTTAACAAAAATGCGGACGCCCTATCTCGAATAGAATTAAATGCGAACGAAACAAAACTTGTTTCAGCAAATCCTCCTTTTTTGACTATATCGATGAGTTTAATGAACAACTTGCTTCAACATCAACAGACCCAAATCCAGACCAAACAGACAATCAATCGCTCATAGTCGAACCCAACGATCATCAAGATGTCCAAAACTTAAACGATTCTGACGAAACTGTTCATTCCAGTCATGAAAATCCCATAATTAATGCTCCAATAACTGAAACACCTGTAAATTATGTCAGAAATCAAATTTTAATCTCAGAAGTAAATTTCTCACCTTCAGTAATTAAGTTATTCAAAGACAAACAAAGAAGTTTCTAAACAAATTTTGAACAAGATATCCTAAAGTTTAAAGCTAAAGTACCATCTGTACTTTGAAATTAAATTTATGAACGATGGTGTAGAGTGTTACGTGTTACAAAAATATTTTAAGCACTCTGAAATTAATATGGTCAAATGTACTAAAAAACTCGTAGACGTAGTTGACAATGATGAAGAAGAAATGATTATTCGTAATCATGATGAGGATAAAACAAACCATAGATGAAACTGAAAAACGTATTCGAGCAAACTATTACTGGACAAATCTACAAACAGCTGTTAGAAATTATATCAACCAATGCGAAGTATGCCTTGTCACCAAGTATGACAGACATCCATTAAAATTAGAACTTAATATTGCACCCACTGCAAATCGCCCTTTTCAAATTGCTCACATTGATAGTATATTGGTAGAAAGCTGTAAATTTCTAACTATAATAGACTCGTTTTCAAAATATGCACAAGCGTATAAATTAGAATCATCTTAGGCAATAGAATTGACGAATAACTTGATTAAATATTTTTCGCATCACTGTATCCCGGAACAAATTATTTCTGATAATGGAGGTGAATTCAAAAACACAGTAATAAAGGAACTACTTGTTACCCATAAAAATGAAGTTCATTTTATCAGCTCTCAGCATCCAGAATCAAATGGAACAATTGAGAGATTCCACTCTACTCTCAATGAACATATTCGCTTATTAAACAACAAAGAGATCATGAAAAATGAGCCCATCGAATTTGAAGTAAATTATGCTGTTTTAGCATATAATAAATAATACAATACACTCCGCAACAAATTTCAAGCCATACGAGATCGTAACCGGACATCTCGGAACTGATTCTCCATTTAACTTAGAATAAGAAAATCAGTTAACTAATAATTGTATTCTCAACCATAAGGAAAAGTTGAGGTTATTGTATGAGAAACTTAACCAGGATTTACAAGATAATAAAGAAAAAGTAATCTCAAAACGCAATGAGAACAGGGAACCATTACCTCCTAACATTCCAGATAAGGGTTATGTGAAAAATAAACAAAAACAAAGTAAGACTCGCAACAAGTATAAGCCAGAAGCAATTTCTAAAGTAAATTCAGAATTTAAAACAGCCAAAATTAAGCCCGCTCATGGTAACACCGCAGAGAAAATCCATTTAAATAATTTAAATAGGACTAGGGTAATATCTAAAAGCCCAAAATCTATTTCAGGTCCCTCCTCGTCCACTGGCAAGTAGGATAAGCAGCCATTAAAGAAATAAGTAGGAACCTTGGCATTCTCCCAAGAAATTTAGGTACAGCTAAGCTCAAAAAAATGGAACATACCCTCGAAGATTACCATAAATTAGCACCATTGTATGATGAATTTAATAATCTCAATATTCAATATAATCATTTAGTATTAAGTTACATTCAAAATATTACTTATGCTAAACAATTAGATAATTACGACATGCTAGCAAGATTTACTCAAAAATCTAATTTAGATAAGATAGATCATATTAAAACTCATTGTGTCTATAGAACTAGAAGAGGATTGATAAATGATTTAGGTAGCATAGTTAAGTATATTACTGGTAATCTTGATGCCAATGATGGCGTACGAATTTTGAAGATACTGAATCACATGTAAGGCAATGAAGATAACATTTCAAGTCAAACTCATACAAAATTTTAAAGTTTCTCTTGATGCAATACAGCATAATGAGGCATTACTGAGATCAAAAATTCTTCAGCTCAGCAAAATAGTTAAAACAAGTGTTACACAACAAGACATTCTTTTTACGAGATACATCTTTCAACAGCTGTTCATTTTATATGGTTCTATACTTAATACATTACAAAATATCGAAAATTCTGTCACTTTTTGTAAAATGGGTATCATCCATCCTAGTATAATCAGACCTTCAGATCTTTCTATTGAACTCAACAAGATCTCAAACCTTTATAAGAATAATCTTCCATTTCAACCAAAAATTGAAAATATTTTAGAGTTTGAATCTATAATAAAAGTATACTGTAAAATTGAGGCAACTCAAATTGTGTATTTTTTGTCAGTGCCAAGTGATTTCAAATACAACTTTGACTTATATTATTTGCACCCTATTCCTACTGTAGTTGGGTCAGAATTCTTCTAAATTTTTCCAAATTGTAACTATCTTTTAAAATCAAAATCTGATGATTTAATCAGACCTCTAAGCGGCATATGTACAAACACCAAAATATACCACTGCCCACGGCAATTGCAAGTCAACGCAAACGTCACTTGCGAATCAAGTATTCTGAAGAACAAAGATCTAAAAAGCTGTCCTCTCTCAAAGGTAGAAATTAACGAGAGAGCTGTTTTTCCAGAACGTGATAAAATTGAAGTCAGATGCAGTAGCCAAGCAGAAACAAATCTTCTCAAAGGAATATTCTTATTAACAGAAGATAACCGTAAAATTTTCTTTAGAAGTGAGCAACTTACATTTCTAAGCAAAAGTATCGGCCAACCTCTTATCATGGAGCCAATAGATATTTAAATTTTACTGGAAGCAATCATCCCAAGTTCAAGATAGAATTAAAGCATTTGACCCTAAAAGACCGACAGACAGACCGACAGACAGACCGACAGACAGACCGACAGACAGACCGACAGACAGACCGACAGACAGACCGACAGACAGACCGACAGACAGACCGACAGACAGACCGACAGACAGACCGACAGACAGACCGACAGACAGACCGACAGACAGACATACCGACAGACAGACATACCGACAGACAGACATACCGACAGACAGACATACCGACAGACAGACATACCGACAGACAGACATACCGACAGACAGACCGACAGACAGACAGACAGACAGACAGACAGACCGACAGACAGACAGACCGACAGACAGACCGACAGACAGACCGACATACAGACGACGACAGACCGACAGACAGACCGACAGACAGACCGACAGAAGACCGACAGACAGACCGACAGACAGACCGACAGACAGACCGCCGACAGACAGACCGACAGACAGACCGACAGACAGACCGACAGACAGACCGACAGACAGACCGACAGACAGACCGACAGACAGACCGACAGACAGACCGACAGACAGACCGACAGACAGACCGACAGACAGACCGACAGACAGACCGACAGACAGACCGACAGACAGACCGACGACAGACCGACAGACAGACCGACAGACAGACCGACAGACAGACCGACAGACAGACCGACAGACAGACCGACAGACAGACCGACAGACAGACCGACAGACAGACCGACAGACAGACCGACAGACAGACCGACAGACAGACCGACAGACAGACCGACAGACAGACCGACAGACAGACCGACAGACAGACCGACAGACAGACCGACAGACAGACCGACAGACAGACCGACAGACAGACCGACAGACAGACCGACAGACAGACCGACAGACAGACCGACGACAGACAGACCGACAGACAGACCGACAGACAGACAGACCGAAAGACAGACAGACCGACAGACAGACCAACAGACAGACCGACAGACAGGCCGACAGACGGACAGATAGATAGACGGACATATTGATAGACAGACAGATATACCGACGGACAGACCAACAGACAAACCGACGGACAGACAGACAGACAGACCCGCGGACCGACCGACAGACAAACAGACAGACAGACAGACCTACAGGCAGACAGACAAGCAGACACGTAGACAGGCAGACAGGCAGACGGGCAGACAGACACACAGGCAGACCGGCAGTCAGGCAGACAGACAGACAGACAGACACACAGTCAGACCGACGGACGGACAGACAGACCGACAGACAGACAGACAGACCGACCGACAGACAGACAGACAGACAGACCGACCGACCGTCCGACAGACCGACAGACAGACAGACCGACAGATAGACCGACGGACAGATAAACGGACAGGCACGACAGACTACCAACGGAAGTGAGTAACATGGTTCACTTTGAACTTCCTACGCTATGCTGTCATCAATTCACGAACTCAACTTAAGCACAAGTTAGTCTCTCTCAGAAAAAAGTTGACTAGGTACATGTGTAATAAAGGATATTAAATGGATCGAGCACGCTCATCTAATTAGTCCATAGTTCACACGGATTTGACAGCATTGCGGTCTAGCTTACCGTCCTATGGACAGTACCGAACAACGTGGCAGCTATACCTGCCGCGGTACTTGCAAACCCAGCACAGTAGCGTTGCATACACGAATACGCACATAATCGCTCAGTTAGTCCGAAGCAGACAGACGTACGCTCGTTGGGCACGGTTGACATATACTCTTCCACAATACCTACAACACCCTATATCCAATTTTGGACCCCTGCAGAAATACGTATTGCTCGTGTTATATGTATATCCTTTATTTTCTGTTCGAGTCCACATTCCTTCTTTTTGCGGAATTGCCAATTCTTTTTTGGTATTTATCTCATTTTCAATTTTTTTACGATTACCATAGCTTCTGACCAGTGGCGTAGGAAGTAAAGCGCACATTTTTAGTTTTTCAATAGCTGCATGATTCTGTAGCTTAGAACATACTGATTAAATGTCAAATGGGACTGAGTTTCTTTCTCAACTTTCTCATACAGAAACTTCATACGAGTAACTATCAAGCTGGCGAATGCAATTCAGGAGTATCACAATGCGCATTGTCAAGAATTGGAAACTATTTGGAGATTTTCCAATTCCAACTTTTTAAGTAAGTTGTGAATTATGTAAATATACACAATCTCCATTTCATGTCTATCTTACCCTACATCCGTATTTGAGTTTACCCCAAGTTTTATTAGATTCCTTGTAAACTCTATGCAGCGAAGAGCTAGTGCGCTTAATACCGTTTGTAAAACAAGCAAAATGTTTATGAATGAAGATACAGTATAGAACAGAGGTACGTAAATAGTTATTCTTACAATTTTGAAAGTGCTAGAAGGTAAAGTCAGAGAAGAGAACCATACTTCTCTTCCAAGTCAAGTTCTAATGGATAGGCGTATAGCCATCCTTCAATAAGAGTAAAATAAGGATCCTTAGATATTAGATAGATACTAACTTCGTTTTTGGCATTTCAGAGGGCCTGACCATCTTCGGAAAAAGTTTTGTAGTGGCATAAGTTAAGGGTTGGGGTTGAAGGGGGGAGGGCATATCTCAACTTTTTGGCGTTAATATATTTATACACCTTCAACCCTGGCACCTATATAACATATTTCGTACATCATAGTTATATAGATATCTCCGTACATCTGTCCTTAAAGCTTAGACTGATAAAGAAATATTTTCGGCACTTGCGTCGCAGTCTGACTGCTGGTGGTTGCCCTGGCTGGCGTAAGACCAGTCGGTACTTTCGGTAGGGAGCAAAGAAGTTTCTAAATCGCAATGTTGTCAAATAAGGGGACCACGGACTTATTGTACATTTCTGTAGCTTAGGGTGTTCTCAGAGGGTGTAACCTGAGCCGAACGTAATCCTCATGAAGTGATGACAGCACTGCGTAGCAGGTCGAGAATTTTTACCATTTTTGAGCGTTTGATCATTTCTGGGCGTAGTCAAAAAACTATTCTGAAGAGGTCAAAGTATTTAGAAGGTTCCAAACTTTTTGTTTTGAGGTTTCCAATCTTTTGAACACTTTTAACAGGTCAAAAATAAAGTATACCCCGTTACCTGTGGGATCTGAAATAGAAAGAGCTACATACTAATCTGTGGAAGTATTGAGAATATCTACTAAACTAATTTTGTTTATATTGAAGCAGCACTGAAGATTATGGTTAATTACTCAGATTCCAGAAGAGAGAGAGAGAGGGTGAGCGAGAGAAATGTCTTGATAACCTGAATCTGAAGCCGGTGAAACAGGGAGACTTCTTCAGGTAGATTGGTCTACAACGTTACAGATCTAAGAATAGAGGACGGATTGTAACAGTAATTTCCTGATGCATTGGGTTCGACAGAGTAAGAACCAGAAGTAGAACCCTGTCAGGTCCAGAGTGCGGAAGCATCCTGGATAAGAGTTCTGACATCAATGAAGTTGTGGAACGGAGCTATCATGAAAGGAAGCACGTCGTTAACATGTAATGTTCCTAAGGGAACAACCATGTCGTCATTAACCGAAGAACAGGAGAAACTGCCAATTACGAGGCACGCCTTTTCAGAAAAGAGTAACAACTTAGCCACCGGTTCGCAAATATTGTATGACTGTACTGAACAGGGTGTCCCATTTTCGATTATATTACGGGGTATCGCAATTACTAGTAAATATAGAGAATCGCGGTTATCGCATTGCTGTGCTACTTTTTTGTGAAAATAAAGATGGTATAGACAAAATTTCCATAGGCTGCTTCGTTCCTGAGTTACACGGCGAAATTGAAAATATCGGGGACCTTCCTCGTATCAACGCTATGCCTTAACATATTGTAAAGCTAAAAACTGGCTCCTATACAACTTTTCACGTTGTCACTGTTTATCTATGAGAAGCTAGTTTTTTTATATACAAATGCTAGTTGCTGTGTTTATTTACATATTAGACATATCTTAGACAATTAAATGCCACCACCAGCTATGGGGGTGGGTGGCCCCACCACTAGTGACAGCTTTAGTGGCATTGTGGCAGTATTCGATCTAACCTTCAGGGAGGATAGCATGGAATTAACCTCAGGAACGGAATCTCACAATGAAGATAACCGTCTGCGAAACCCTCAGAGTAGCAATTCTACTCACACTGGAGGAAGTCCCCTACCTCGATTCTTCAATTTGCAATCGGATAAGTATTCTTCTGATGTTTATATTTATATGGAGAAATTGAATAAAGAGAAAATTGGTAGTCTACATCCGATATTTATAGGCCATCTACTTCACAAAAAATTAAACCTTAGTAAATTTATTGTCAATATTTCAAGAGTCGGACAAAATAGGATTAAAGTGACAGTTATTTCGACAAAGGCGGCAAACGAAATAATTTCAAATGAAAACCTTAAAACAGAAAACACTAAAGCGTATATTCCGAACAACTTGCTGATTCGTACGGGTAGTATCAAAGAGGTTGACACCTCCTTCGACGAAGATTATTTAAAAAATAATATATCATTTACAGTAACAGTCCTTAGCGTAAGTCACCTCAAAAGAAAAATTGTGAAAGATGGTGTGGAACATTTGGTTCCCAAACAAATGACAGTAATTACCTTTGATGGTCATCTGCTCCCAGACGAATTAACCATCAATAGTGTGCTATTTACAGTTGAGCCTTTCGTGCAAAAAGTAATTCAGTGCTTTAAATGTTTACATTTTGGTCATGTATCAAACCAGTACCGTAGCTCGACTTCTAAGTATATGACATGTTGTCAATCCAAAGATGAAAACCACTTCTGTCTCGAAACCAATAGTTATTGTATTTATTTGTTTACTATGAAATTTGTAAATTTTGCATTCACAGAGCACAGTATAAGAGAGTATTCTATTAGAACACAAGCAACAATGGAAGAATTGAAGCCTTAGCCCTCTATGGTTTAATAATCCTTTGAGTTATACCTCATAACCACGTCCATACTTAATTCCGTCGTAGCTAAGTTCCCAACAAGTTTGGTCCAGATGACAACATTACTTTTGTTTTTTTTTAACTTGATAAAAGTACTCCAAACCAAGTTATCACATTTTCAACCGAAACTGTACTACTCAAATAACTTATAAAAGAGTTCGTTAAATTTTGCAGCATATTTTTTTCCTTTACTTTAATACTGACTAAGCTATAAACTTTCATTAATGCACGACTTGAATTACTTCACTTTATACCAATGAATTCGAAATATAATATTGATGATGTGTTTTTTCAATGCTGTCAGAAATATTCATTGCTGTTGATTCCTAACCTATTTTCCTATCCAGAATCTTAAAATTCTATGTAGGTACTGTATCCTTTTTCTACCCTGGATTGTTACTTCCTAGAGATGTATTCAGATGTATCTCACCTCCTGACACTATAACAAAATCCAGTTAAGATCCAGCTTGAAGTACTGTTTACATTTCAAACTTAACTTTGTTCAGAGGAAAGCGGTCTGAGTGGTCATTGGCACTTCCTTGACAAGCAATATCAAGCTTCTGTTATATTACCGCGATTTAGGTTTGTTAGTTGGGCCCGCTAGGGATTTGATGCTTAATTTGAAATTTGCTTTATGTGGATCGCGACGTACGGTGGCCGAGACACCATTGTTTTACCAATCCAGACCAGGTAAGCAGTGATGATAAAGGCCGTGTGGCCATTTTTTTATACTCCAGCTACCACGAAGGCTCTAGGGATACATGGGAAAGGGGGGGACGCCACACGGACTCTGACGAGGGAACACGTGTGCATGCAACAAGCACACATTCAGGCTCCGCCTACGAGAACCGCCGGGTGGTACCTCCGCGTTCGACAGTCAGAGACCATCTATCACAACATCCATACCCAAGGGAAACATTTCTCCTGGGACGGGACTCGAACCCGCACAGCGCACGGCGACTGATCAGGAGACCGAAGAGCCTACTACTGCGGCCACCGCTGCTGCATGTCGCTC